GAACAAATTCCTGCATTCCTTCGCCTTTTCCCTCAGCACTTTCCCTTCGTCCTCAACCATTGCGAACCTCAGGCTCTGCGCAATCTCATCACCTGTGAACGACCCATCCTCCTTCCTAGGCACCTCGACGCCGAATCCCTTCTCCACCATTTTCCTTGCAATTAGCCCCTGATCGAACACCATCGGCAGAAGTACCATCGCCAGCCCAAACGCCAACCCTTCCACAACCGAGCTCCACCCAGCGTGCGACAAGAGACCTCCTATGGAAGGGTGAGCCAAGATATGAATTTGAGGAACCCAGTCCATGCAAAGCAGCCCACGGCCATGCTCCTTTATGCTCTCCACGAGCCCAGCGGGCACCGACCCAACCCTCAATGCCCAAACGAAATGCAGCCCGCTCAGTTCCAGGCCGACGGCGATCTCCATCACCTCCGTGGCACTTAGCTTCACTTCACTTCCGAAGGCAACATACACAGTTGAGCCCTGTCCTTGCTTGTCTAACCAATCAAGCGCTGCGTGCTGTCCTTCTTCAATTGAGGGTGGTAGAAGCCCTACAGGGACGATCGGCTTCTCATAAAGGTGGCCGAGAAGCTGCAAGCATTCGGGCTCCAGCTCCTTACAGCTACGGATGAGTACGATTTGGCATCCCTGTATTGATTTCCCAGCCCGATAAAATTCAGATACACCAGATGCATCTGGAACTGCTCCATTGAACAACTGGCGAGCCTCGAAAGAGCGGAAGACGATCGTGGAAGGGAAAGGAATCCACGTAGGCAACAGGGTGAGTTCCTCTGCTTTCTTCCAAGCACCTGCGCCGCCCATTAGTGCCGACGGCGGGCCGAAGAAGGATAAGAATGAGGCGTTAAAGATGCTGAAGAACGCACACGGCACGCCGAATTTTACAGCAATGTTTGGAACCCAGTGGGCGGCGTAGTCGAAGAGGATGCAATCCAAAGACGCTATTTGCTTGTTTTGGATGAGATCGGAGAGCGTTTCTTCCAATGTGTCGAAAGCTTTACTTAGATATGGACGGAGATCAGCCGAAGGGAGGTCTATCGTCGCCTCGACGTTCTCCGGCAGGTGTTCAATTTGAGGTAGTGGGATTTCGATGAAGTTGATGAAGGGAGTGAGAGGTGGGGGGATGGCGGGGAGTCTTGCTACATTTCTTGGGGTGCTGAGGAAAGAGATACGGTGGCTCTTTCGGGCGAGGGATTTGGCGAGCTCGAGAAAAGGAAGAAGATGGCCAAAGGCAAACCATGGCAGCATTAAGATGTGAAGACTCCCGCCTTCCATGTTCAGTTGGAAGAGATGAGCCGCCACGGGGAGGTATAATAGGTCAATTTGATCTATATATGACGAAGTTTTATTTGATTCAGTCGCAGGCAAAAAACTCGGTACATCTCGGTACCGAACTCGGTACACCTCGGTACCGCGCGATTTTTACCTGCGACCGAATGTTTCTCTGCATTCGATCGGAGGATGTAATAATTGTTCATATATGACAGGAGGAGGTGGAAGGAAATCATTTCCAGCAAGATCTAAGAGATTATTACTGCGGGTGAAAATAAAAAAGCACTGTAAACAGTATTTTAAAAATACAGTACAGTGATAAATTAAAAGGGGAGTGATGAATAGAAATTCTTGTGATTTTCATGTACTGTTATTGTTTAAAATCACAAAATTAAATGGTTGTGTCCTGACTACTCGTATAATTAGGGGTGTCAATTTCGGCTCACGAGTCAGGCTCGGGTCGAACCCGGAACTGGCCCGAAATTGTTTGACCCGACCCGAACCCAACCCATTTTTTTGCAAATGGGTCAACCCGAAGCCAACTCTCCAAGTTGTTGTTCGACTTCGCTATTCCGCCTATTCGCGTTGTTCGCTCCTTTCGGTCGGATCGGAAGTTACAACATTTTGATTAGAAGCAACAAGGGGAGCTCACAATTGCTCGCTGTGAAGGAGTCGCCGCTTCTTCATTGTTGTTCGACTTCGCTCCTTACCTCGACGACGTTTCCTTCCACTCTTCTAGTCGGAATCGGAAGTTTGAACGGAGCAACGAGGGGAGCTCACAGCTGGAATCAGAAGTTAGATCGGAAGCAACGATGGGAGTTCGACGACGTTGCTGTTCGACTTCGCTCCTTTGGCGACGTTGATGTTCGACTTCACTCCACGGAGGCACAGACAACTAGGGACGTTGTTGTTCGACTTCACTTCACTCCAACAAGTTCGCTCGTTGTGGCCTATGAAGACTGAAGCGTGGGCAAATCCCGTTAATACGTACGTGGGACTACAGTAAAATAGGTCAGAAATGGGTCATTGTCTGGTTTCCGGGTAAACCCGAACCTGACTCGGACTTCAAAATGGGTCGAAAATCTGGACCCTAACCCAAAATTTGTGTAGGGTTCGAATCAAGTTTTCGGGTCATGTCAAATATTGACACCCCTACATATAATAATCTCTCCAGATCTACACCAACCTAAGCATTCGGTTTTTTTTTCATTAATGATAATGTAACAATTTTTTTTGACCAAACAAACATAAAATAAGAAATAGGAGACCAAATAGCCCGAAGGAGAGTTTAGGATTTAGTATAACTTGTTTTAAATTAAAATTAGTTATAGTTTAAAGAAAAGTAGATCTATTTTATTTTAGTTGAAATATGACATAAAACTGCCCCATCATAATTTATAGAGTTTATTCTGTGTGGTTACACCGCACATAATAATTTTCCCATAATTTAATACATAATTGATAGACTAACAAAGAGAAATGTATAATATGACCCACCGTGGGTAGCTCATGTGGGTAAGTACTGGCTGGGCATTGCCCTGGTCGCCAGTTCGATCCCCTTGGGTGGCCACGAAAAGCCTTAAGCGTTGATGCGGTGCATTTTAAGCTAGAATAGTCCTTAGGAGTATTTTATCCATTTTGTTCTAGAATGCTCCTTTTGCTTTATAAATAGCAAGTTTTGTAATAGGGAACCATTGAATGACATATTACTCTCTTTGAAGCTTAGAAAGCTTGTTCTTCTTCTTCCCTGGATTGGGAACTCTTTGAAATCCTTCTTGCAGGTATCGTCTTCCGCCGATCCACTACATCAGTTGGTATCAGAGCCTGGAGCTTGCGAAGATCGATGAACTGCGGAAGAAGGTCGGCTGTCGACGACGTTCGAAGCCGTAAAACAAGGGCGGTCGACGAAGATCGACGCCGAATAAGATGGGCGGTCGACGAAGATTGCCACCGAAGGAGATGGGCGATCGACGACGATCGACGCCGAAGAAGACGGGAGATCGTTGACTATCCGCCTCTCGAGCTTCCACTCCAATGGCGTGATCCGCCGCCGGAATACCCTCCCCTAGAACTTCCACTCAAATGGAGAGATCCCCCGCGGGCTGTCGACCGTGATCGACGCCGTAAAGCCCTTCCAGTGGCTCAAGTGGAAGCTTCGCTTGCTCGGATTGATGCTCTATTTGCTGATTTCAATCGTTCCTTAGAACGAATCTGCAAGTCGGCAACCAGACTATCATCGGACATCTGCACGCACTCGCTCACTCCTGGTCTTACATCAAAGGCCGATTATGCACTTGTCCGACCTCCACTCCCGCACGACATACCACGGCCCGAATCCGCCTCCGCCTCAGCTTTCTCCTGCAATCCGCTTCGCTTCGGCAAGGAAACACCTGAGGCCATCTACCCATTTCCATTGAATCGAGCTCCTCCGCCTCCGTGGACGACCTTGACTGAATCAAGCCCGACCCTAATTCCGCCTCCAGATTCCGCTCCCAGTTCTACGACCCGAGGAGAACCACAGCTCGACGCCGATTTCGTCGTCGCTTCATCTCACGACCAGAGCAACCAAGAAGAACAGAGCCGAGGTGGAGATGAGATCGAGGTTTCGCCGGAGCTTAGCTGCTCCCTGGAGGAGATGGCCCTATCTACTCAAAACAACGGAGGAGCAATCGAGCTTTCCAAAGTTTTAAAACCTCCTCCGCTTCCACCTGACCTGACCAACGCCGTTACCATTCCCCTGTTGCCACCCACTTCACTCCGACCCCAGCAGACGGAGAAACCACGCTGCTCTCGCGATCTTGCTCCAGGTTTCGAGCTCGATCCTGCGCCTCGCTACGAGCGCGATTCCGCGCTTGAAGACGAACGCGATCCAGCGCCTAGCGGTGAGCGCGATTCCGTGCCTGGAGACAAGCGCATTTCTGGCATCTGTACCCGAGTCCCCCTAATCATGCGTCTCCAACACGATCCCTCCCTTCCTTCCCCTATACTCCACCTCGAATACAAAGGCAAGCATGTCCCTACCTCCGAATCTTCCATCACTTCTGCCATCGAATCCGCCACGGCTGAGATCGCCGGCTCCGGCAAAGGCATCTCAGACACTCCTCTCACTCTTGTCGTCCGAAAGAAGGGGGTTCCCAATCTCACCATAGTGGATCTCCCCAGCATCACTCGAGTACCCGTGCACGGTCAGCCTGAGAACATCTACGAACAGATCGCTGCCATTATAATGCAGTATATAAAGCCTTCGGAGAGCATTATTCTTAATGTACTCTCCGCAAGTGCCGATTTCCCGACCTGCGAGTCCATCCGGATGTCGCAGCAGGTGGACGGCAAGGGCGAGAGGACATTGGCGGTTGTTACTAAAGCTGATAAGTCGTCGGAGGGCCTTCTTGAGAAAGTAACTGCTAACGACGTTAACATTGGGCTCGGTTACGTTTGTGTGCGGAATCGTATTGGGTCGGAGACATATGAGGAGACTCGCGAAGCAGAGACGAATCTGTTCGAATCCCATCATTTGCTTTCCAATATCGATAAATCGATAGTCAGAATCCCTGTTTTGGCGAATAAGTTGATGCGAATACAGGCTCAAAGCATAGCAAAATGCTTGCCTGATATTATGAAGAAAATCAATGAGAAGCTGAACCGCAATGTGTCGGAACTGGAGACCATGCCTCAAAATCTGGTCACCGTTGGCGATGCTATGAGAGCGTTTATGCAGAACATCAGCAAAACTAAGGAGGTGCTTAGGAAGTTGCTGATAAGAAGAGAATTTGACGATTTTCCGGATGATAAAGAAATGCCTAATTTTCTTCCTAGAAGAGCTTTTTTGATTCTGCTTCAGAAGAGGGTAAAAGAGGTCTCGAGCATCCCGCAGGATTTTGTTGAAAAGGTATGGATTTACTTAGAAGATTTAGTGGTGGCAGTTCTTGACGAGGCATCGGAGAATTATCCACCTCTTCAGGCGTGCAGCAGAAGGGCGGCAATCAATCTTATTGAGAAAATGAGGGGACGCTCGATCCGGAATGTAAAAGAAATTATAGAAATGGAAATGGTTACGGACTTTACTTTAAGTCCTGATTATATGAAGAAGTGGATGGAGGCTAATGAGCAAAATCCTGATAGTAGAACTTGCAATGAGCTAATTGAGGGATTTTGCCGTGAAGATGATGGCCCAATCATTCTGGTTGGGAGTGCTCGCGCTAACCAGGATATTCATGATTTTGTTATTGGCACATATCATTCAACATACAAGTTGAAGGGATTAAAGCAACTGTGGGATGCCTTAGCACTTGAATCTCAACTACAAAGATCCTCTGTAAAAAGAGATGCATATTTTGTGGGATCATGCTTTGAGACTTTTGAAATACTATGTGGACGGACATCAGCTCAAACAAACTATGAGGAAGATGCAAATGATGAGAACAAAATCTTCGATCCGGGAATCTCTTTTCTTCTGCAACAATCCTTTTTTTTTTAATAACGCGTCTCGACGGAGTCGAGCCTTTTTATGCTAGGGGAGAATGATGCGGTGCATTTTAAGCTAGAATAGTCCTTAGGAGTATTTTATCCATTTTGTTCTAGAATGCTCCTTTTGCTTTATAAATAGCAAGTTTTGTAATAGGGAACCATTGAATGACATATTACTCTCTTTGAAGCTTAGAAAGCTTGTTCTTCTTCTTCCCTGGATTGGGAACTCTTTGAAATCCTTCTTGCAGGTATCGTCTTCCGGTTGCTATGGGGTGGGTGGACCGCTAGGTCGACCGAGAAAATTAGTGGCCGAAGGACGATACTCCCTGTCCCAAAAAAAAAAAAATGTATAATATGACATAAAGCTACTCTATATAATTTACTATATAATGTATGAATAATATAAAGCTACACTTGACGCCGGAGCTGAGCCGTTGATCATGTTAAACTTCAGAGCCATTTAATTTCATATGATATTTTGTATGGCTATATAGGTGTTATGCTTTCTTTTGTTTGTGTAGCCTATGATGTTGCTTCTTTTGGCTATAAATACATAGCCAACTTTGTAATAGGCAGAATTTGAGATGAATAAGAATTGAGTAGTTTTACTCTTGTTTTGGGTTTTTGTATCCTAAAGGATTTCAGGTGGTGATCCCTCTCCTCCAAGAAGTTCTTGGAGTTATCCGGACACGGCCACCGGATCATCGACGTGGATTCGTCGAGCCCCCTCCGATCCGGTGTCATTTGGTATCAGAGCCGGCAAGTTGCTGACGTTCTTGTTCGTTGCCGTGTCGCCTCCACCACTGGCATCATTTGGTGGCGACCCGTCTTCGGTGGTGAATAAGCTTCGGTGGTGGACGTAAGCAGCATCCAAGAATTGGTCTCATTTGCATTCTTGGTTGGCTCTTTATTTCTCCTTCCAACAGCCAAGAAGGGGCTGTCTTCTTCCAGCGGACTTCAAGACAACAACTCAAGAACCACAAAACTTCAACCAACTGCTGCGATTCATCCTCCACAACCATTTGCATACACCCGAGAGTTGTTTCCAAGAAGAAGAACATTAGTCGCCTATCCTGTTCTAGTCCACAGCAGGCGTTCCCTCAAATCCTGTTTCCAGGCGGCAGACGTTTCTTCAAGACAATAGGTGCAAGAACCCATCAGCTACCAAAAAGAGGGAACGTGGGGTTGATCTTGTACCCATCGACACCAAAAGCCTTATTGACCGGTGTCAGTTGCCAAGGCGGTCCGCAATTCGGCAAACCTCCTTCGACGACGTTTTCTTCCTTGCCAAATCGGAAGTTGTGACCGGAGCCTGCTCGCTGAAAGGGGTTTAGTTTAAATTTTGCTCAAATCCTACATTAATCTTGTTGCCAAACAACAGCTGAAAGAAAAATCTCAAAGGAAGTTTTTGAGTTTCGGATCCAAAGAAGAATTCTGTTTCTTGAGCGTCCTCTGTTCTTTCTTCTACATCCTGATTTGATTTTATGGTGGTGAAGAAATCAAAGTGCAGCCCTCTTCTTTTCTGCCAAGAAAGTGGCCGCCACATACGTAGTTGGAGTGCTTTTTGGTAGTAGCCACATCAGCATATGAACCTCTTTAATCAACCAAAAAAATCTGACAAAATGTGGCCTCGCCGAAATCATCAAAGATCAATTCAAGAAATGTTGGTCGACGAGCTTCAAAGAGAAATCGTTCAACTCCAACAGCGACTAGTAAGGCTCGAACAAACAAAGAATGTAGAGTCTCTCGATCAAGACGTTGCGGACATTCGAAAAAAGGGAAAGTATGCTACCCTGATGACATCAAGATCTCTCGTTCCCACTAAATCTTTAAGCAATGACGACGAAGAGAGTATCCTTGAAGGGCCACCTCATCAGTCTTCCACACCACCTACGATTAAGTTTGGCTTCAAAGGACTTGAAGATTCATTGCCGAAATCTTCATCTGGGCCTCTCTACGATGAGCCCGTGTACGACGTGTATGATGACGACATGATCGATGGAGTTCTTGATCTTGAGCAACTTGCATATGATGTTAATGACGATAGTAAGAGGGAAGGACAACATAACATCAAAGATGATTCTTTTCTATCCTTTGAACTTGTCAACTCCACACAATGGAGTACATCAAATGAAATTGTTAAGTTTCCTCAACTGAAGAAAGAATCACTGATGCTCTTAAACTTACAACCAAAATCATCATCTATTGTTCAGTCACTCCCAAGGTCAAACATGGAGTTCCTAGACTTGTCATTTCGTGATCTTCCAATGGTCCGCTCTAAGATCAGCATTTCATACTCAAATGCGGCTCCGGCAGGTAGCAGCTCGATAGATAGCATGTTCGGGATATGCTTACAAATGGAAGAGATCAACAACGTTCTAGTAAAGACAACTCATAAGATTGATAATGACAGGACTAGTGACCAATATTGAAGATCTTTTGAGTGCAAAGACATGGGAATATTCAGACCGGTTTAGCCAACCAAATCCACCTCCTTACGGTGGCCAACCAGACATCTTCCTATGAGCCTGAAGTTCCTCATACCCCGGTAGTATGATGCCGGAGTTGAGCCGTTGATCATGTTAAACTTCAGAGCCATTTAATTTCATATGATATTTTGTATGGCTATATAGGTGTTATGCTTTCTTTTGTTTGTGTAGCCTAGGATGTTGCTTCTTTTGGCTATAAATACATAGCCAACTTTTGTAATAGGCAGAATTTGAGATAAATAAGAATTGAGTAGTTTTACTCTTGTTTTGGGTTTCTGTATCCTAAAGGATTTCAGGTGGTGATCCCTCTCCTCCAAGAAGTTCTTGGAGTTATCCGGACACGGCCACCGGATCATCGACGTGGATTCGTCGAGCCCCCTCCGATCCGGTGTCAACACTATAAATTATAAATATAATATATTTTTATTATAGTTTCGTTTGGGACGATTTTTTTAATGCGGCTTAAAACGGAGTTTTGATATAAAAATTAAAATTTTTAACTAAAATTCTGTTTTAAAAAGCAAAAAAAAAAAAATCTTCACAAACGAAGCCTAAGTCTTTGTTTGGGACGATTTACTTATTGCTTTGTAAAGATAACTTAGTATAAAAATCTCTTGAAAGCGGAGAAAAAGCAGTCGCCTAAAACTGTCCCAAATGAAGTCTAAATAGACAACTCTATTATTAATATGTATTATGAGCTTTTTTTTATGTAAAGGTGATAATGCCATTAATGATTTTTTTGCATCCAAGCAATATAATTTAGAGTTATCTATATATTATAAAATGTACTAATGACTTGCTTCAATATATAATGATTTTTAATGACATCATAATTCTAAGTAATGAGAAAATATGCTACAAACAAAGCATATACATGCACACATGCAATATCTTCTTAATTAACTCCAAGTTTATCAGCAACACAATTACTTGCCACTTGTTATTTTTTGTAAGATTAAAGATGGCATTATTTTGTAAAATATTAGGGCTTGAGGGACATTTTCTATTTTTATTTCATAGGTTTATATTTTTATTTGTTTTGTTTATGTTTTCATATAAATTAAAAAAATATATTGGACGTTCTAAACTTTTGTAACTTTAATTTGTTGGTTATTTTTCTTAATGAATATTGCGTATGCAATATGATAGAGCCTTTAGATGATGGTCGTCAGCTGTGCGAGAGGTGACAATAATCAATGGGGGTCAAGCTACGTGGTAATGGTGGTGGAGGTCAGTGGCGGTGGCCAGAGATAGCATCAATTTGTGGTGTTTATATATATGTGGTAGAAGCTGCCAATGATGGTGATCAACGACCCTAACTAACAGTAGATGTTGGTCAACAATTATGACGTAATCAGCCTTAATTCTCAAGAGGGCAAATGACAAATTTATAAAAAAAAAATAAAAATATACATATGAATGTAAAAATAATTTAATTTGCATATAATCACTTTTTACATACTTATTTGTTAGTGTTAGAAAAATTTAACATACTTTTTTAAAACGGAAATCAAAGATAATTCCCAACGAGCCCTTAGTAGACAAAATTATGTGGGCACAAAAGATGGCAGACCGTATACATCAGCTAAATAGACCACCCTTCCAGATTTCTCGTTATTAGAAAGGCCACGTGTCCCACCTCTAAGATCTTGTGAATATTCGTGTCAGAGAGAGAGAGAGAGAGAGAGAGAGAGA